TTCATACCAATCAATTTGCTTCATAATTTGTTCAGCAAATGAATGCAGACGAGCGTCAGAAACGCTCGTCCGTTTGTGGGCGGGCGGGCAAGGAAGGCGTTTGGGACGTAAAGTTGTTGCTCAATAGGGCGTTATAGAGGTACCCTCCTTGGAAAAGGCTTCACGCAGCGCCTGTCCGAGGTCACGGAATTCTGTTAAGCCAGTTGTACAAATCCTACACCTGTATAGCGATTTATCGTGCCAACTGCCTTTAAGTTTGCGTCTTCTTCGGCTTCCACACCTAACGAATGACGGGTGTACAGCGTTGCCGAGTGTACAATTGTGCCCAATTCCTTATTTGTCCATAGGACGGACAAAAGCCTTCATCTAGCCGCACTAAGGGCATAACTCTTGCTCCCAACTCTTATCTATCTTACCGGAGCAGTAAGTGGATACCTGATCCCTTTTATGGATACCTACCATGCAATAATTGGAAGATTTTTCAGTGGAGGATTATACTCGAGAGTCGGGTGTGCGACAGCTGGAGCGAATGATCGCGGCCACTTGCCGGTTCGTCGCGTTGCGGATAGCGGAAGCAAATAAGAATGAAAACGAGTTTGACAGCATGATGGCTTCCGAGCTACCGATCGTCGTCTCTGCTGAGAATTGCAGAAAAATACTTGGAGTAAGTTACTAGCAGTATATATTCAAAAAGGCGGCCTCAACACGGGGTCATTGAGCCCATTTTGTTCCAGTTATAGTCCCTTGAAAGTGTGCTGAAGGGTAGTCGCAGTGCATGGAGCTCGTCGGGCGTGGCCTGACGATTAGGTTCCACCGCCCAGGGCACAGCAGCTTTGGCACAATCCCATCAGGGTGTGGTACTTGGCCGCGAGGTAAGAGGCAGTACTTGGTCGACAGAGATCGTTCACGTGCACTTCATACCCCGCCCCGCATCCCTTCTAGTTGGCGGTGCTGCAAGACCTCTATATAACCAATACTAATGACAGCATAAGGAATGTTATTGACACGGAGGACCCATATCCCACCATTGCCTTTTGCGCTTGGTTCGCGGCTTGATCTGGCAGAACATTTCCAGGCTACATGGAACCCGTATGCAACTGCTCTTCGTTGGCTTGACGCACTACAGCACCGCTTGTCCAAATTAATTCAGTGTTGGTTCAAATACCGCGCACGCAACCGCGCTCGGAACGCCTCCTTTATCACTCTCACTGCAACTTGGAACCTTGGAACCAGCAAGTCACACGCGACTGCTCTTCGTTGCTCCTCACTCAAGACCTACCCGTTCCGGCTTCTTGAGCATAAATTCATCTTCTCCGCGCTTAGAAATTATCCATCTTGGGATTTCCAGA